GGTTTAGGCTTATATCTTTGGTTGTGTATAGTCATATTGGTAAGGAAAAGGTCTAGAGTAGTAGTAGTAGTCGGTCATCTAATTTTTTTGATCCATTTACAATGCCACAATAATTATGGCAATGAGCATTCTTGTTATAATTCTTTGTGTTATTCTGATTTCTCACATTAGATATTTTCACAATATTTTTTAATGCGAAGAAGCCCTCAGATTTAGCCGATCTTGTTTAATAATATGTTACAGTACAAATTGACATTCTATTTTTGTATCACAACAGTTTCAATTACAGAAATTTAAATTCATTGCTTTGACTTAATTATTCAGGATGGAGGCAAATGAATTCAAAGGGACATAATTCTTGCTTCCAGCTTATTTTTTAACATTATCCTGCTAAAATGTTTAACCAAATGAATAAAATTGATTATTAATCAAGGATAGCCAGAGAACTTAGTCAAATTTGTCCTGTCAGAAAACAATGTATTTGAAATGTATTTTATGTGATCTCCTTGCTTGAATAATTCAACTATTCAATGGTATTTATTTTGATATCATTTTTTACACTATTTTTTTTCAAAAACTGAAAATAAATAAAAAAAGACCTACATACATTAATGTTGAGCTCAAAAGCAAACAAATATAGATGGTGTGGTATTACAAAAATCTGGCCAATTTTATTTTTAGAAGAGCTTAGGCTGAAAACTTTTCAACACTTGTGCAATTATATTAACAAAAAATTCTGTAATAAAAAATAATTAAAAAGAAATGCCACAAAATTTTGTCAATATGGTGACATTCAGAGAGTGACCATAAAAAAGAGAAACAACCACCATAAACAGGGGTCAAAGGTTGAGTGGCATTTACAAAAAGAGAGGGAAAAATTGAATTTCTCAGTTTTGTGAATGATAGCATAATGCCACCCACTCCCCGTCAAATGCAACCACATATTCAAGTAGGGTAGGAGCAAAATTATTGTACCATGGAAGTCCTGGCTGCAAACATAATTTCCTATCAATATCAATCTCAATGGCTTTTCAGGGTCAAAACAAAATAAAAGTAAATTTGTTGCTGAAAAGGAATGATATGCCAAAGAGCTTGATGGGTGGGGGCTGAGGCGGGGGGAGAAAAAGGGGGCAGATAATCAACGAGGAAAGAAGGGAAGTGCAAGGTTAGGTCAGGATAAGAACAGTAATTGGGTTGGCAGGAAAATCATAAAACGCAAATTATTATACAGTCTACTGGCTGCTTGTATTCTTCAGCTCTACATAAATGCAATCATCAAAGAGACATGACAGACAGACAGACAGAGAGTATAGAGAGGAAAAGAGAGGTAAAAGTTTTTAGAAAGGAGGCAGTTGACAGACAGACACAGTGAAATTGGCTGACTCAGTGAAAATTATAATAGAATGATCAAGCTGAAGTTATTTGAAAGAGAGAGAAATGTCGATAGGAGAGAGAAATGATGATTTCGAAAGAGCGACAGAGAAATAACAATTATGAAGAAGAGAGAAATCAGAATTACAAAAATCAGAGAAATGACAATTGCAAAAATGAGAGAAGTGATGATCATGTAAGAGAAAGGGAGAAATGATAACGACAGGAAAAAAAGTCAGGGACAAAAGACAATTTTGAAAAAAAGAAAAATGACAATTTCAAAATGAGAGAGAAATGAAAATTATATATATATATATATATTAAATAAAGAGAGAAATGATGACTGTAAAAAGTTATAGACAAAAGACAATTGCAAAAAAGAAAGAAATGACAATTGCTAAAATGAGAAATCAATTTTGGAAAAGAGAGAAATGAAAATTACCAAAAAGAGAAACGATGATGGTAAAAAAGTGAAGGAGAAATGGAAATTATAAAAAAAAGAGAGAAGTGAAAATTATAAAAACAAGAGAGAAATGATAACTGTAAAAAGACAATTTTTGACAATTTCAAAAAGTGACAAATGACAATTACAAAATGATGATAGTAAAAATTTAAAGGACAAAAGCTAAAAAGAGAGAAATGACAATTACAAAAAAAAAGAGAAATTAAACTAATAAAAAAAAAAAGAGAAATTTTTTTTCTAATTATTTCACCCCAACCAAGGCAAAAGTGTCACTAGTATGCAAGGGGTTACATATATTGAGAGAAAAGATTGGGTGTAAGGGGGATTGAGGAAAAGATAAATGATGAACGTGGTTCAAGTCAACAGTAGATGGTGATTGACATTGCATTTAAATTTTTGAAGATGGTAGTTATCAGGGAAGCAACTATGCAGAAAAAAGTACCACAGGCGGAAAGTGCAAGAAAAGATACTGTTGAAGTAGAAGTGGCAGTTACATTTAACTATTTCAATAGTAAAAGGGTAGGACGTAGATGCCAATCTAGTAGCACACTTAAATTTATGTGGTTGAAGCAACAGGGGAAAAAAGCTTGTCAGAGCAGTTGCCATGAAATTATTTGTAGAAAAGACAGAGGAAAGCTATGTCACTTCTGTGAGAAAGTGACTGAAGTTGAGATGCCAAGTCAGGATCAATTGTATTGTTGATCCTCCTTCAGATTTTCTTAAGAACCTAGAGATGAACAGCAGGAGCACCAGACCAGATATGGCAGCAATATTCAATGCACAGATAAATGTACAAGATGGATTCTGACAAGAAAAACATTCTGGCACAACTAAATGAACCAACTTTCCTTGCAGTAGATGCAGCTATTGATTCAATAGTTGTTCCACTTTAAGTCAGTTGAAAATTTGTGGCCAAGAAGGTGCAACAAGATGCTCACCTTGAGTTAAGCATCAGCCATGCTGATAGCAGGCCGGGAAGTTTCTCTATGGTGGTTAAATGAGAGCAGTTTAGCTTTGGAGGCATTAAAACTTACAAGCCATTTTTAACCACTGATTGGGGGTTCTTTTAATGAGCAGTGGCCAATTTAACTTTGTCAGCTTTTATGGATTTGCTATTGAGACAGGAATAAATGGTAGTGTCATCTGAATACATGCCTACTTGGGAACTAATGACATCAGGAAGATCATTGACGAAGATTAGAAACAGCATAGGACCCAAGACAGAGCCTTGGGGTGGGGGACATCCACATTTGTGTAAAAGAATCTGGAAGTGAGCTCATTCAGGACAAACTTCATTTCAATGCCTTTATTCATTTCAATGCCTTTTATTCAATATCTAGAGCCACAGCACAAGCTTTGCCATTATTATCAAAAGCCTGTTATACATATTCAGTGATGGCCATAAGCACATCAGCAGTAGACCAGACAAAGTGGAAACCATATTGTTTGTCAGAGTGTTGGTTGTGAGAGGTAAGATGCTTAACTACTTTAGCATTGATTAAAGCCTCGAATACTTTGCCAAAAAGCAGTAGGGGACTAATAGGGCAATAGTTAGAGGGGTCAGAAGGTTCTCCAGAGTTCTTAAAAAAAAAAAAAAAGAGAGAACAGAGGACGACTTCTAACAAGCTAGGAAGCAGTGAGGCAATAGTTGTAGAGTTTGGAGAGAACTGAAGCCAATTCAGGAGTACATTTCTTTAGGATGAAGGCACCAAATTTGCAAGATGCTATACATTGTTTCATTCTATCAGCAAACAGTAAATTCACTTCATTGAGAACATTCGTCACAAGCAGAGACAAAGAGACATCTGTTGCAATCAGATGTGTCACTCTGGTACAGACGGAAGAAGTGATTCCTATGGACTATAGAGGGTGAGAACCAAGGAGATACATGCAGTTTAACTTGGTATTTCTTTGCTGGAATGAAATCATCAATGCTGGCGTTCACCCAGAAAGAAACCTCAGATGCACATTTTGGAAGAGGATCATTAAAAACTTTTTTCCAAGGGATGTCATGAAGGAAATCATGGGATGAGTTCCAATCTGCTCATTGATAAACAGAAGGATATTCTGTAGGTAGGAGGTTCTTGGTTGGTGGGGGAGTGGCAGAAGAGGTTTACAGGCACTACTGCATGATCAGAGTTTCCAAGAGGGCAGAGCTGTGTAGTACAACAAGAGTCAGGGATAGAGGTAAAAAAAGAGATCAAGAAGAGAAGCATTTCCATCAGGGTTACTGCAGAAATGCATAGGGAAGTCAACCACTTGAATGAGAGATTAAGTGATTGAAAATTTAAGGGTTTGGTTGCCAGCAAGGTCAGCGGCAGAGTGTTTAAGTCACTTGGTATGGTTGGTATTAAAGTCACCGGACAGGAATATGTTTACAAATGGGTGTAAGGGAATGGCTTTGTCTATATTATCAGAAATATCAGTCTTGAGTGGAAGATGAATGGTAAAGAAATAAGGGAGAGCTGACTGAGTTAAGTAGAGAGACACAGTGACACATGTATGAATGGTCGGGAGATTTAAGAGAGAGTTCCCTTGCTAGTGGGAGATGATCACAGACATAAACTCCCAGGCTATAAATGTGGACTTTAGAGTCTTTTCTAAGGAGAGGAAGGTAGCCTGGAATAGAGAAATCAGAGGAGGGGATTGAAGAGTTAAGGTTAATTTCACAGAGAGCTTGGATGTCCAGAGACTTTTCAAAGAGGAACGATTCCACACTGCAGAAGTTGGTATGAATACCACAAATGTTGGAGAAGAAAAGGCTAAGGGGTTTAGGTGTTTTTTGTTGAGTTGGTTTAGGCTTATATCTTTGGTTGTTTATGGTCATGTGTTATATTGGTAAGGAGAAGGCCTATCATAGTAGTATTAGTAGTAGTAGTCGGTCATCTAATGTCACATGTGCACAGGGAAATGGCACAGAGGTGCTTGTAGGGACAACCTTCCATGTGTGACATGGCACTGCAAGAACTTCAATATTATGCAACTGTTGATCAAAGCAGACTCTCAAGATATTATGCAAAATTTGGGCTCCTAACTATCATTCAGGAACAACAACCAGAAAACTGCCAACCTGGCACCCTCAGTTTGAAAAGACATTGCCACTATCCATGCATATCACAACAAATTCATGACAGCACCACTATTAAGGCCTGAGAAATAATGAAAATTATAAAAAAGAGAGAGAAATGAAAATTATAAAAAAGAGAGAGAAATGATGACAGTAAAATTGATTGACAAAAACAAGACTGAAATTTAAATTATAAAAAAGAGAGAGAAATAATGAATGTGGAGACAAAAGACAATTGCAAAAAAGAGTACAATTACAACTGCAAATAAGAGAGAAATGACAATTGCTAAAAAGAGTAATTAAAATTATGAAAAAGAGAGAAATGAAAATTACAAAAAATAGAGATAAATGGTGACTGTAAAAAGTGAGGGACAAAAGACAAGGGCAAAAAGGAGAGAAATAACAATTGCGAAAAAGAGAAATTAAAAATGTGAAAAAGAGAGAAATGAAAATAAGAAAAAAATAGAAAATGTTTACTATAAAAAAGTGAGGGACAAAAGAGAATTGTGAAAGAGAGAAATAGTAACTGATAAAAAAGAGAGAAATGACAAAATACAAGAGTAACAGAGAGATTGAATGGAAGAAAAAAAAAAAACAGAGAAATCAGATTCTATTTTACAACAAAATCTTTCTGACACTGTTTTCAACATTTATTACTGTAAGAACAATGCAATAAATGATATTAGAGTGTTTATAGACAGACACATGAAATAATAGACATAGAGATGAAAAAGTTTAAAGAAGAGTTAAAGATGTCACAATCAGATAGTATATTCACTGGTGAGTAAAGAGTGGGTATAAAGAAACAATGAGAATATCATTAAAGACGTTCAGAGAGAGGTTCTACACAGTGTTTTATCTGGGGATGTGGGGATGACAGAATGACAAAGATTCAAAAGGAGAGAAATCAAAATAAGAATTATAACGGTGACAGGTTTTATAGACAGATGGATAGTGACATCTTTGATAAGAAGGAGTAAAGAAAGTGACAGTGTTATAAACAGAAGTGAAGATATACCTGTGGAAAGGCTAAGATAGATGCACCATTTGAAAGTGCTTTATCTTAAGGGACAGAAACAAAGAAGAATGAGAGAAATGAAAATAAAACTCATGACAAAGATAAATTAAAAGACAGACCTGAACAAAGACAAAAATAAATAAAAAGAGAGAGAGAATAAGAAAGAAATGAAATAATGACGATTAAAGAGAGCTAAAAGACAAATCTACTGCTGCTTATTGCCAAATCTTCAAAATTTGACAAGTAGACACCCTCCCCTACATGCATACAAAAAGGGGAAAAACAGAATCAAGCAAATTAATATCCATTTCAAAAGTGGTATAATCAATTTTATAATTATTTCCTCCCTACCCGACCCTGTCAGAGGATAAAGGCTTCTTTTCTTTTTAGAAGACCATCATTACAAGAAGTGTGTGAATGGTAGTGAATGTGGGAAGGGAAGTAGGGAAAGGAGTCTGCAGAGGAGAGGGTGGGCTATACATTTGCATATTAAGTGGAGGAGCCCAAAGACAAGGTTCCCAGAAAGTAAAGAGACTACTGGAATCTCCCATATTTGACTTTCTTCCTCATTTAACAATAACAGATTTCTATTCATGCACCAACAGACTTTCCATATTTTTAGAGGAATGTCACTATGGGTACTCACCAACCCCATCCCAGAAGCCCCTACCTATCCACCAGATCTGCACTCCTTGGAGCAACCATCCTCCCATTGCTAACAAAGCTGAGGAACCAACAAAACAAAACAATGTCTTAAATCTTCATAATGGAAGTCATTCTTTGGAAACAGAATTTGATCGGAAATAAAAGCAAGGATTTCTAACGGGTGAAAGTGAATGCGTCTTCCAAATTAGATTTCATGTTCTGCTGGACAAGAGTGCAACTTTTGGTTCCTATCTTGCACGCTGCATCTGTGGCATGCGCAATATGCAGAAATGGCAGAAATGGTTCTCTTATGAGTGGTGTGCATTTTCTATGATGGATGCATGCACACGTAAGCCACAGTCTGCAATTTGCAGCCAAGAGTTTAGTCGGGTAGGGTCTGGAAGGCAAGCAACACTTAAATGTAACCACTCAAGTTGCAAGAAAATATTGAAGATGATACAATTCACGGCTGCTCCCATAAAACTGTTTTGAAAGTTAAAAGAGGAAAGACAACAGCAATAAATTGAAATATGCCCCAAAAGCAATAGCTCAGTGGGTAGAGTATTGAACCAAAAATGATAAAGTCCAAGGTTTTGATTATCAATTTTTTTCCTTCTTAGTTGAAACTGATTAGTAGCACACTAAACCCAAAGAATTCTTCCATTCAGAATCTACATGTTGTATAAGTTAAATTTCAGTGCTGGGAGGGTGAGGTAAAATAAAAAGTTAGTCCACTCTGAAGTTATCAAATCTGTTTTAATATTTAGTTATGTGATATGCTTGTTGAGTTAGATGAGGACAAGTTTATTTCTAAATGCTCACGTTTGCACATTTTAATTTTTAGTTTCTAATTAATATTTTCATTCCAAATAATTGATAAAAATCTTTGAAAGTGGTTGTAATTGATTTAATAACCGTTTATTTTTTTAATGAATATATAGTTTAAGATTTGTTGATTATCTGGAAAAAAGAGAGAATTATTTTGAATATTATCTTAGGGGTTCACTTACTTTTGCACAGCATTGTGTGTATATACGTGTGTGCATGGACACCAAATGACAAAAAATTATTGATAAAATAAATATATATTTATGTTTTTAAAGATAATTAAAAAATATAAAAAAAATATTAAAAAAATATAATGTGTAATATGCATATAATGCAATGCTTAAAAATATTTAAAAATCTATGATAGTGCAATATTGGTTACTGAAAACATCAGAAAATGTCTTAATCCTTGTGAATGTAATATAGAGGCCCAAAACCCAATACTAGTGTATTTTTATTTATAACCTGAAAGTAATTGTAAAGACTCACTTCTTTACAAAACCCTGATAAGTCTATTATATGCATGTGTACAAGTAGATGTTTATACGTGACAGGGTTTGCTTATTAGGTTATTGTTGCAGAGAACTTACTATTATTATTTATTTATAAAAATATTATCAGAAATGTCAGGTTTAGAGAAAGGCAAACATTTTTGTCATGAATTCATTCTTTGTCAGTTGTCTCACCTACTCATCTATGCAATAAATTTGAAAGGCCGAAAAAGAAGTGATTCCTTCCCAAAAAATTGCTTATTCAGTATAATGTACAAAATGCTGTCATCTTGAGGGAATTTGGCTCAATTTTTCATGAAATTCCAATATTCCTAAAATCTTCTACTCCTTTGAGTGATTCCTTATTCCTTATCCAAATGAAAGTCAGAATGAATTTGTGTTCTTTCTCAATCACTTTAAAAACATCAATTCTTGATAAATGTCAGCAGATTTGGATTGACTGAAAGCAAACAAGAAATATGAAAGAAGCAAAAAGAACAAAACTTATACAAATACTTAAAATAGATAATTACACTTCCATCTCAAATAAGGAAGAGATAGCAATTTTGCAATCATTGTTCCTTAAAATGGAAATTTTGTCTAGAAAAATGGAGAGAAATTTAAGTTTTTCATTAATATTTAGATATTCTTTTTTTTTTTTTTACTATTGCTCACCCAATACAAGGTCAAAGTGCCACTCAAGGTAGAGAGTTACTAAATGAGGAAGTTGTAAGAGTATAATAGAGGGAGCAAGGGTTGCATATTAGGAGAATGCATAGGATAGATAATGATGGACCCTCAAGAAATTAAAATTGTGGTGGTCAAGGAAGCATCCACTCAGGAGTCTGTTCCATATTGCAACAATTCTGGAGAAGATCTCTGAGTGGAACTTATTCCTTACTAATGGAATATGAAGGGAATTAGGATAAGTCAACATAAGATAGGATAAGTTAACATGACATGATAGGTACTAGCTGTGATTGTCTGAACTGCTGGAAACAAGGAATGTAGATCACCTGAGCCATTATATTCAACCAAATATTTATATATTGAAAGTTAATAGGAAATTTAAAAAAAATAATTTAGGTTATACTTTGTATCTCTATACTAACTACATATTATGTAAATTATAAAATTAAAAAATGCAATGACTGTCTTGGTGGATTTTACAAGTACATAAATGCATGAACTTTAAAAGATAGAAAAGATTGATTTTGCTTGAATTTCTGGCATGAGGAGTTATTCTTATTTACACTATTTACATTTGAACTCATCAGCAGGTTGGCAGGTTAGGTTTAAGGCGGCAAGTTCTTAGAGAATTGTCCTATGGGACAATATCCTAGTGGATTAAAGTGTTGGTTTATGAATTTGGTGATAGAGTAATTGTGAATTCAATCCCTGGGCCAGACAGTATGTATTTGGACATAGCAGAAACAGGGAGAGCAATAACTAAGCAGTACTAAAAACAATACTAGATGAGATATCCCTAGACATGGGCAGTGGAATGAGAACAATCTATACTCGGTGACTAAATAAAGGGTTCGGTTTGGAATACTCTGTATGTTACCTGGATTGATATGCACCAGACGAAGGCCAGATATCAACAACAAAAGAAGAGGAGAATAGTTTGAATGTAAATAGTGAAAATAAGAAAAGATTTTGTTTTTGTGTCAGTCTCTAAATATATAATACCAATAGATAAATAGAAATAAACAAAGGCATAATGCAAAGAGGAAAAATTTAATATTAACCATTGGAAATACATATCTTTAGAGCTGAGCCACTTTTTAGGATTCCCATGTTTGGTATAAGGTGTATATAAAAGTTACCAGCATCAGCTTTTATGCAACATTAAAAAAATGTTAGAAGTGCCTTTGAAGATTACGTATCTTGTTCTGTGATTTAATTGAATGACACATTGATAATTCTTAAAAAAAAAAAATCAGAAATAAGTAAAATGTGATCAACATGAATTGGAGGAAGGGAACATTAATGAATATTTAAATCTTCTTCTTCTTCTTCTTCTTCTTCTTTATGTGCAGTGTCCCTTGAGAAGATGGATAATCTAAGGTTTGACTTTTTATCTCATAATCCCTGTTCTGGCAAAAAGCTCATTAAGTAAGTTATTTCACTGCTTTCCTCTGTCTCTTTTGTTCTCAATATGTCTTGTGAGTATCACATTCTCCAATCCCTCTTTCTTCATTATGTGCCCTAGAAAATTCAACTTTCTCTTTCTGATGTTAAGTAAAAGTTTCCTTTTGTTTCTATTTTCTATAAAAAAATTCATTGTTGCTCACATGTTCAATCCATGATACTCTCATCATCTGCCTGTAGCACCACATTTCTACTGCTTCAAATCTCTCTTTACATTTACAAGATTTTCCAGCATTTACTGCTATAGAGAATTACATAACAGTTCAGCATTTTCTTTTGTTTCTAATTAAATTTTTCTGTTTCTTAATAGTTTGTTAACTTTTGGAAGGCATCTTTTGCTTTTCATTTGTGCCTTTGGATTTTGGTGTTGAATTTAAAGCACTTCCTATATATTTAAATTGTTGTGCTTCCTTAATTTTGATGTCTCCAATTTGTAGTTTTGGCTGTTCCTCTTTCTGACAACCATGCATGGTCTTCTTGTAATTAATGTTTATTCCTTTCTTGTTTAATACAGAAAATTTATAGAGACAAGATAGTCACCAATCATGAAGAATCCAAAATGAAGAATGTCGGGAGAAGATCCAAGATATTTTTTTCTTATCTACTGTGTCACTTCCAGACATAGACAATCATCGCTCTCCATGACTACTTATTCCTCATAGGAACGTCTATCCTCTTACTATCTCTCCCACTCCCTCTCTCTATTACTTTCTATTTCCCTCTGTCCTTCTTGCCTTCTATATAACTTATGAGTGTCTAATTCTCCAGGCCACCTTTCATAGCTGATAACATCAATCTAAATGAAATCACCTAGTGGTAGTGGTAGGAGATAGAATTTCTCAAAGATAAAAGAACTAAGGGAATTATTTATTATGTATTGTGGGAAGTGGAAACCTGAACAAATCGTTAGTATACAATGAACATCTGGACAAATTGTTAGCATACAATGGGCATCTGGACAAATTGTTAGTCTATGTTGAGCAACTGGGAGTGAGATGCAATAAAAAAAGACAATTTGATGGGCACAAAATTCAATCTGCAATTTTATGATCGGATAATGACTGGCTTATTGCAATTGAGGTACAACAAACAATTATGGGGATGGTATGGGAAGTTGTTCTAGATGAAATATCTGCAAAGATGTCACTTATAATACTCTCTGTCAGCAGTTTCAACAAACTAAAGCTATGGAAAGTTTTCTCAGGAATAATACTAAAATCTAAACAGGAATCTTCCATTTATCATGTAATACATAGGAATTTACTTAGAACATGGTGTGAGGTCAGAGATACAGGAAAGAATTAAGGGAAGGGAAGGGCAAAGCAAAATATAAGTGTGTACATTCAACACAGACTGTAAAAACAGAAAGAGAAAGTGAATATACCTTCAGGTCAAGAATAAACAATATATATTTTGAAAGAAGAAAGGCAGAT